CTATTGGACAATTCTCAAAGTTGTAATATCGGTATCGTATCGGAAGTGAAAAAGTGGTATCAGGACATCCCTAACCTCCACAACAATATGACATATTGAGACTCATACATAAAATATTACAAGTGAAGGATGGTCTRAATCTAAGATTTTCCATTTTAGCTTCAGTTCTGTTGAACAAACAATGACTGGGTGGAATGTTTTGTTCACTTTAGATTAAATTTTAACGTTTACAGAAAATGTTAAAGATCAAATCATTTTATTATGATCTGATAAATAAAACATTAAACTGAACGAGGGTGAACCTTCGTTTTTTTTTTTTCATGACTCTACAGGTTGTCGTTTCTTCRTGACATCTAATGGCATCGGAAAGAATTTAATGTTACAACACATTCACGTGACTCACAACTGACCAAACTGGTTTTAGTTGTCTTMATCGCTAACACGCCAGCCAGTAAAAAAGGTCATGAGAAATGAGATTTTTGTCAAATCTAACTAAGTAAATAAAACAAATGGGTTTTGCTAATGTTTTGGGTGTTGCTCCTTACGTTCTTTCACCTAATTTTCATGAAACAAAACAAGATTTGCAACTGGCTCATGAGAAAAAAACAAAACAAAACAAGCTCACAAAGTGGAACCTTTCACCTCTTACAGAAAAAATAAAATAAACACACTAAACTTCCAAGCAGGGAGGAATTTACTGAACCAACACGAGAAACATCATCCATCAAGCATCCCAGGAATAGGTTTTAAATTTCACTGTGTGTTGGACAAAAGGGACACGCTTTTATTCATAATGTTGAGTGGAAACACGGCGTTCAGCAAGAGCAATGGAAACTTTCCCACATAAATCAGGAGCAAACAGCTACGAAACAAGTTCAGGAGGTTAAACTGAGGCCCAGCAGCCCTTTGAGGAACACTTCCGTTTCAAAATATAAAAGCGGGAAAAAGTCCTGTTATGTGTCGGGTTTCCCCACACTGAGGTCATTGGAAAACGTGGCTGAATTGTTTGCAATGATTTAAAGAGTTCATGTTGATTGGRACCACTCACCCGGAGCAGACATGGTGAGCTGAAGAAAAAGAAAAATTACGTCACGCTTCCTGAATCACTCCCAAAAAAATTTCCTGGGAATCTGAGGGAGAAAAGGGAGGAGGAGATATGAAGGAGTGGAGCTGAAAGGAGAAGGAGCGAGAGGTACAGAAACAACTGGAGAGATGAGTTTATAGTTTTAAACCAAACACCAAGCAGAAAACAGGATAAATTCATCAGAAAAATAAATTAAAAGCAGCAGAACAGAAAAAAGGTAAAACAGGAATTAAAAAGAGAATAACAAATGTTTAATTTTGCAAAAATTAATGCTGAAGCTCAAATTAGCAGTTTATAAAACTGGCAAAACAAAAGCTAATGTTAGCAAACTTACAGTTAAAAGTGGTAAAACAGATGCTAAAGCTAAAATTAGCTAAACAGTAGCCAAATTTGATGAATTGATAAAAACGCCTGCAAAGCTGAAGCAGATGCTAAAAGCAAAAAAGTACCAAACGCAATCCTTAAATAGCAAAACTGTAGCTAAATCTAAAGCTAAAATATGTAAACAGCTGCTAAAAACAGGCAAGCTGTCTCAAAGTAGCAAAACACATGCTAAAGCTAAAATCATCAAATACTAAGATGGGAAAAACACATGCTAACATTTGTTAAATTACAACCAAAAAGTTGATAATA